AACTTGGTCTTTTTGACACTTAGCCGTAGCCCACCTTCTGTCAGGACCGCGATTGGCTGAACCTTGGCTTGAAGTTCCTCTGTGCTATCCGCTATCAAGGCGACTTCGTCAGCGTAGAGGATATTCTTCAGCGATCCCTCTATGAGTCTCTTCACCAGGCCATCTAGTGTTAGGACGAAGACAGAGCTGACCCTTGGTGCACCCCGATCGCGATGTCCACCTCCTTCGTTAGGCCGTATGGGGGTGCGTATAGCTGCCTTGGCTCCTTCGTACATATCCTTCACCAGAGAGATGAGGTGTTCTGGCACGTTTCGTTCCCTAAGCGACCTCCATAGCACTGCTCGCGGTAGCCGGTCGAACGCCTTTTCCAGGTCGAGGAAGGCTAGGTAGCAAGGCCTGCACTTTTCGCGATACTTCTCCATCACTTGCCTAGCGATGAAGATGGCATCCGTTGTAGACCTTTCGGGCATGAACCCGAACTGTTCCTGGGAGATCTGGACAAGGTCCCGCAGTTTCGAGTCGACCAGGCGCTCGTACAACTTCATGGTGTCCGCCAGTCAACTTGATGCCGCGGTAGTTGGAACAGTCCATCGCGTCACCCTTCTGCTTGAAGATGGGGACGATAGTACTTGTTCTCCAGGCATCCAGCATCCTTCCTTCGGCAGTTACCGTATTCAGGAAGCGGGTCCGGGCCAACTGCCTTTCCAAACTTCATCTTCCCAAGTGCACACCGAACCTTTGTCCAGAGTGCGATGGGACCAAGTGTCCCTTGTCTTGTTCTCGTGGGAGAACTCCTCGTTCAGAAGACCTCTGAAGTACTCTTCCCACCTCCTCCGAACTTGGGCTGGCTTCCTCAGTATGGCGCCGTTGTTGCTCTTCACGCTCTTCACCACCCTGATATCTTGAGTAGCCCGATGCCGGGCTTTGGCCAGTCTGAAGACGAACTTCTCTGCGTTTCTGCTTTCCAACTTCTCGTACAAGGCGTCCATCTCCGTGTTCTTCGCCTTGGCGGCGGCCTTAGCGAGCCTCTTGCAACTTGTAGGCGAGGTCTTCGGGGCTCCGGGTCTTCTGCCAGCGCTTGTATGCTTCCTTTCTTCTGCTTCACGACTCGCTGGACCTCCTCGTTCCAGAACCACGCTGCCTTGTCTCCTCTGAATCCACCTCGCGTCTCTCCCAGTACCTCCTTGGCGCATCGTAGGATGATCTCAGCTGCAGTGCCCCAAGTCTGCTGCACTGGTCCCTCAGGATCTGGGAGACCAACTTTATGCTATGTCTGCCAGGAGTGGTTTGTGCTGGGAAGCCAGCTCGTCGCCAGGGAGTACCTTGAACGTCCTTCACAGTTTTGAGGGATGATCTTTTCACCAGCACATGGTCGATTTCCGTTTGTCGTCCTCCACTGCTGTAGGTGACCTTATGAGTCTCCCTTTTCGCGAAGAACGTGCTGCAGATTGCCAGATCGTGGGCAGTAGCCAGGTCCAGGACCCTCTCTCCCTCGGCGTTCCTCACTCCTATTCCTCTACCTCCGTGCACCCTTTCCAGGCCTCTTCTTTCACTGCCTACGTGACCATTCAGATCACCTGCTATGGTGAGGTAGTCACCTTCCGGAATCGTTCTGATGGCATCGTCAAGGCTGAGATAGAACTCGTCCTTGTCACTTTCGGGGCATCCGGCTTGCGGTGCGTACACGGAGAGTATGGTCCAGTACCCCTCCTTCGTGTCTATCCTCACAGCCATGATCCGATCGCTGATCCTGTTCACAGCGGAGACATAGTCCTTGAGCGACTCCGCTACCGCTATGGCCACACCGTTCCGCTTGGTGTCTTCCCATTGTAGTAGAGTTTGACACCTTTCCATCGCGTCTCCTGAAGGCATAGGACTTGGATATTCCTGCGCGTCATCAGATCAGCAACCTCTCGGGACTTCCCAGTTAGCGATCCTACGTTCAGAGTCCCTATTCGAACTAGCTTCTTTGGCCGAGGCCGTTCCTCCTCGGTAGCCCTCGCATACTGACCACAGAACTCGGGCGGGGGTTCTGCGCGCCACTTCCGGGTGACGTCCTAGCTTTATCACTGATTCTTTTTCGACTTTAGACATATTTGTTGTGACGGCGGCCTGTCAACCTGGGCCTGACGCTGGTACTACAGGGTGTCCCAAAATTACTTTTTGTTTATGGCAATGTCTTTTGAACTGTTGGGCAGAATGGTAATTGAATATAAACATAATTATACTAACATCATACACTACAACATGCAACAACCAGATTTCAAAATGTCCTCCACCTGCACGAATTCAGGCCCGGAGTCTCTTCTTGCACCATTCGCACGTTGCACGCAGGTGTTCCTTATCCAATTCTTCCCAGGCTTCCTTTGATGCTGCTTGCAATGGTTGCAGATTCATACGACGAGCTCGACATGCCTTGCTCTTAATCACGGACCAGACTGAGAGTTCCAGTGATTAAGATTAGGGGAGCAAGAAGGCCATTCCTCGCGGCGACGAAGTCGGGCAGTTCGCAGCTCGCATCTGCCTCGAACGAGCTTGGCCCCATAGGCTGTAGCACTGTCCTGCTAGCAACACCACGGCTTGTTCCCAAAGTGGGGGTTGGATCAAGGTTTCAATACGTTCACTAATACGCGCGTCCTTGCTGATCTTCACACATGAATCGGCAAAATTCAACGGCATCTCATCATTGGCCGCGACTCACACCCAATTCATTACTGATGCCGAGTTAGCCGTTCTTCAACAATCTTCCCTCGTGAGATGACACTCCCGATACTTCTGACTAGAATGTGATCGCTTTGGCTATTCAACACCGGCTCCACAGCGAATATTTTCTCGTCAGAAAAAAACGATCGAGAGTTGCGTGTCGCCAGTGAAGCGCGCTAGTAACCTTCCAACTTTTTGGCCTCTCTGCTGTTTGTTGCTAAACAGAATGAAGCGGCACTTCTGCATGTGATAGAGTTTGTAGTGCTGCTTCTCCTTAATGATGCGCCCCATCGATGACTTCGATAAATTCAGCGGCCTCGCCATCCTTCTGATGGAGCACCGTGGATTGCTAAGCAAACATTTCGTTGATTCTATCCGTGAACACGCTGACCATTCTTCCTTGTACAGGCTTGTGAATGAGTGTTCTTATTCTCCTGCATCGTTTGTTGGCCACCTTTACTGTGTTCACGGGAACACCAAGAAATTTAACAATGTCCTAGATGCAGTCTCTTGCTCGCGCACGCGAATGATCGCAGGTCACCTTGGATCACCTCTCGCCATCTCAGAGATACTGGCAGTTTTACCCCAATAACGATGCAGTTCACAAGAGAACCTACCTGCACAACTATTTAGTAGCGCCCGAAATGAAAATAATCGATATACCTTTTCCAATGAATTTTTGAAATTTGGCGCAAGTAATTTTGGGACACCCTGTAGAACCATTTCTGCAATTTTTGCAAGGCATGGTTAACCTCGGCAGGGATCGAACTCGCGGTTTTTGGAGGTGCAGACATGAGTCTAACCTCTTAACCACTCGGCTATCCCTGCCTTCTAACGTAATGACATAACAGCGGAAATAACTTGTACAAAAAAGGGCACCTTAGGAGCGATTGCAAGGACAGGTAGTAGGACGGCTACGATCGACGAACCTGATGTTCACATTGATCACCGTTTTGGCTATTCCAGGTGGTTTGGATTTGGAACCGATCTCTGAAACTATTGCTCTTGAATCCCCCGAATTTATTGATCTGCCAATTCGAATGCTTCCACCGACCACGACCACTACGCCGAAACCTATCATACAGCCTGTACAAGGTAGTCAATTTAAATATAAATTTAATATTATTTAGGATTAACCGAGGCCACTTCGTATAGAAGAACGAATGATAATTTATTTATTTATTTATGCACTCAATGGTGCGCTACAACAGGGCAAAAGTGTTAGTTCGGTACAAGTATGTTTAGACGAAAAAAAACAAACAAACAATCGCTAAATTCGCATAACAGCTGAAGAAAAAGGAAAACAAAAAAGGAATCGCGCTCCCAGCTGAAGAGGATGAGTGCGGAAATTTTTCCACCAGATTGATAGCCTTCAGAATGGCAGATCGGAGTAAGTTCGTATTCGAAAGTCACTTTGTTTTCGGGAAAGCATCGCAGGAAACAAAAAAAGCAGGAATTTATTGCGCAGCTATCCCAGGAGAGGGCTTTCATTGTAATCACCAAAATCAGGCAGTGATCATCATCCTCTATGAGTATGTCCCCTCTCACTCCTACTCCTAATACCATTTCCCTCTTCTCTTCCCATACTTTTCGATGGTCGAAGCCATTAATAGGGTGGAAAAAATTCCCCGATTCCCTCACCTGAATAATCCAAATCTTGCCATTCTTCGGGGAACAAGGGTGTGCATTACGATTATGAGACGTTCTAATGAGTTTCGCATAAAAACTGCCATGTTAGGCGGGCTAGTCGCAGCCACGAGTAAAGAGGCATTATCTCCAGAAAGGGGTCCCTATTTGACTCCAACAACGACCCGGGAAAAATATATTCAATACAACTTTAGAAAAGGCAAAAAGGTACAGAATGTCCTTCAAACATTTCAAAATTTCATCCTGTTTGGCTTCCATCTAAAGGCACATGCGAAACGGAAGTCGAACTAATTCTTCGATTACTCCCCCTAAAAATTCTATGTTCTATGTTTTCACTCAAACCTAAGCTGTTTTTATTTTCAAAAAATCCTCACATGTCGCGAAAACTTCACCACTTTCCTTCAGTTAGCCCTCCTTCGAATGATCGAACTGTGTATGCTGGATGGATTCCGGAATGGAGACCCTGGTATAGACCGATGGTATTTCCATGGTTCGTAAAAGGTAGGAGCGGTTAAAAGGAGCACCAGTAGAGCGTGAGTCGGGATCAGAGCAAGCCTATGGAGTTGTAATTTTATCTGGATGGGCTCACAGATAACGCCACACTCACGATCAGTGGCACTTCCCATAAATAGACTAAAATCAGCCAAAATTGCAGGCTATGGAAACGACTGCTCCCGGCTTACAGACGCCTGCTGGAAGTCTCGACTATGATTTCACTACTCGTTTCATTGCTGTGTTATAAAATTTCAGTCCGATGGCCTGATTACTGAGTCGAGCGTTGCTTGTCACTTGAATGACAGTAAAAATGCTCGGTAGTTTCTTCAATGAAGTTTTAGTCACACGGAGTTTTTCACATGTCGTCTCGCAACACACTGCAATCAACAAGTTCAAAAGTTGAACGCTCGATGAAAGTGATTTCACGGCCTTTGTTAACCCTTTGACGTTAACTTTAAATTTCGTGACCAGAAATTTCGTTAACTCTTATGCTAGAACGGATTATACGAGAGAAGAGCTGGATTACGATCGTTCCCTTCGTAAGAAAGCTGGAAAAATGAATCAAGAAGAAGGTAAGCTTACTTACGTTGTTCGTGACCTCACCATCCACAGACTTAGGAACCCTCATGACCTCCCCCGCAAAATGGACCAAGCTACCTCTTCGGCGAACTCGCATGATCTACTAACCTCCCATACGCTCATCGATCCAGCTGCGTCTTCCCCTGTGGCTACCGCCTAGATAATAAGGTCAATCAGTGGGTTCAAAAAAACAGCGATATGCGACGTGACCACCGGCTCTCATTCTGGACCACCCCAAAATGAGCGTGGAGGGTTTTTGCTATTCAATGCACGCTCTATTGTCAACAAAATCCCCGACCTCAATTTTCTTCTCCAGCAATCGCCTCACGCAGTTTTCATTACTGAAAGCTGGTGCAAGCCGAACTCGATACATGATGCTATCCTAAGCTTCAACTCGACGTATGAAGTGTACCGTTGTGACAGGGAGGGCAACAAAGTTGGCGGTGGTGTGCTCGCGCTCATACATAAAACTCTTCGCACAATTTCCTTCTCCAAAAAGATTTCTGCGAACTTTTTGGGGAAGGAAATTGTGTTTGTATTTTTATTTGTAAATTAAATTCTATTTGTAAAATTAAAACAAAAACAGTTTTAATTTTACAAATGGAAAAGTTTAATCATATATAAAGCCATTAATTTTATTCAGACATTGGCCTTCGAAATAAAGTTTGCAGCTACCCAAATTTGTGTTATACTTGTTTACCGCAGCCCTTCCTGCACCTCAGCCGTTTTTTCCGAATTTCACTGCCTGTCTTAACCAACTTCTCGACCAATGGGACGATCACATCCTTCTACTAGGTAATTTCAATTTCCCGCTCATAGATTGGGACAATAACACGGTCAGAGGTAGCTCCTCGGCTTCCTCGTTCTCCTTCCTCCGTTTCGCTAACTCGTTTAACCTTAAGCAAATGGTACGCCATCCCACGCACGGGCTCAATATCTTAGACGTCGTTCTAGCCTCCGATCCAACACCGTTCGAGATCTAAACGTTTTACCACCTTTTAGTACGTCAGACCACAACAGTATCCGTTTTTGTATTGCTTTCGTTCCAGCCATTTTAACAGACCCAGCCCAATTGTATAGATGCTTTTCAAAAGGAAATTATCCGGCCATAATTTCTGCACTCTCTAAGATCAATTGGACTGTGTTGAGCAATGCTTGCAATAGTTCCGATGCGTTTTACTCAAAACTTTTAAACATCTTTCACCAACTAATTGAGAATTATATCCCTCTTGAGCTAGAAAAGAAAAAAGCCGTTAAATACCCCAAACGAATCCATTTCCTCAAAGCCAAAATCATGCGTCTTCACTCAACATCCTTTGGTCAGAACTCCAAGTATGCCACGTATGCCCGTAGACTCAAACGTGCGCTTCTGCGTCACCAGCTATTAGAAGAAAAGAGATTGGCACAGCATAAAAACAGGAAGAATTTCTTCAATTATTGTAGGAAAAAAGCTCAAAATGGCCGACAGAACCGCCAAATTTGATCTCGCAAGATGGGACCTTAGTTGAAGACGATTTGTCTAAAGCTAATCTCTTTGCCGACTATTTCCAGTCAGTTTATAAAAGATCATGCGATTCAGGGGCCTACCCTAGATTCTGTGTCGTTGGATTCCCTGGATTGGGTAGACATTTCCAGCGATACTGTTCACAGTATACTGCGAAGTCTCCCCAACAGGGTGTCTACCTCTCCCGATGGAATCCCATACATTTTCTTGAAGAAAGCTGCTCTGGGATGACCGCTCCCTTAACTGTACTATTCAATAGAATTCTACTGCATGGAGACGTTCCTAGGCTGTGGAAGGTCGGGCTCGTCAGACCGATTTTCAAGAAAGGTTGCAAAAACAACGTTGCCAATTATAGGCCTATATGTTTAACTAGCTCTATCAGCAAAGTCATGGAGCGTATACTGTGTCGAAAAATCAGTGATTTTTTAACGGAAATGAAGACTTCTCCACAATAACCAACATGGATTTCTTAGGCGCAAGTCCACTATGACTGCTTACTATCCACAATCCTCTGTGGCATAGAGAAATAGATAAAGGACGCTTTCGTATCAGTCTGTTACATCGACTATGCCAAAGCATTTGACACCATCTCTATTCCACTACTACTACGGAAACTGGAAGCGTATGGTATCCGCGGTCCGACACTTTTTGCAAGCATTCCTTAGTGACAGAGTTCAAGCTGTACTGATTAATCAATCCCTTTCTTACCCTTACCCCACATTTAGTGGGGTGCCTCAAGGCACTTGTATAGGACCTCTCATGTTCATCATTTTTGTTAATGACCTAATTGAATCCATCCCTTCAGGAGCGTTCTGCAGTTATACGCTGATGACTCAAAAATTTTCACTATCAATGACTGCCATAAAGCTCCAAACTGCTTTGAACTGTGTAGAGCGATGGTCATAGAAGTGGAACTTGGAAATTTCTACCAAAAAACTGCGATTATGGGGTTAGGAAGAAACCACCCAGATTTCCCCTTTACCCTGTGTGGTAGCCAGCTTGCTCGCGTTACACAAATCCGAGACCTTGGTGTCACCTACAGTGAACGACTTGATTTTGAAAGGCTACATACATGACATTGCTGCCAGAGCAAGTTGTAGGGCAAATTTCATCCTAAGATCCTTCAAAATGCGCGAGCCGTTGGTTCTTTTCCGATTATTCAACCTCTATGTTCGACCAATCGTTGAGTATTGCTCCCCCATCTGGTCACCGTACAAACAGGTTCTTATTGATGAACTTGAAAAAGTCCAAGAAAAGCTTCACCTATCGCTGCTTCATGCGAAAGGGGACTACCTCCCTTTCTTATGATGAGCGACTGCAAAGGCTTGGGGGCGAATCACTTGAGTTTCGGCGTAAAATAATTGATTACGGCTTGATGTACAAGCTTATAACTAATGAGATCGATTTGAATTTGGATGACATTTTCGAACTTTGCCCTTCCATAGGATTATCCAGAGGACACCCTTACCGTATACGACCTGATAAGCCGAATTCTCGGTCCTATGAAGGCGCCTTCAGCGTCAGAGTTGTATCGTTGTGGAACAGGCTTGGTACTGAATTTTTTGATGGAAACACTCACAAACATTTCAGACTCAGCTTGCTGCCTATTTGAAGCGACAACAGTCTTCTTCAGAAATGTGTTAAATGGTGATGAAGGGCTCCAATGTGCTGCTTCTGTAGCACTGGTCCTACTCGACAGTTTTTGAGCAAAAAATCTTGCGGGTTTGGTTAATAACAATTTTACATTCTTTTCTTTTTTTCCCTCTCGATAAAATAAAGTAATCAGCGTTTATTTCAGCTCAGCCACTTCTTACCACGATTCCCTACCGTTTGTACTACCTCTATGCCTCTACTTGTTTGCCTTTTTTTTAACATTTCCTTTCTCCGTATCGTTTAATTGAATGATAATCATGTTTCATGTTTTTTTTTTCAAACTGTAAAAAATATTATACCATCTCGCTTTTTATGACCCGTCAACTATACTGTAAATAATTATTTTTTTAATACCTTTCGGTTCCCAATAAGCCCACTCCGTACCGTCTTGGGTCTTCGGTTGAGGTTGGCGGACCTACTAAGCTGGTATCCGGAGCCGCGATCCCTCCCCGCGGCTTGCAGTGTTTGGCCGGGGCACTGCCCTTCCTCTTCCTTCCGACCCTTGGCCCCATTCCCCCCCCCCTCCCCTAATTATTCTTTTGTATCATGCTATTATGACTTTTTTTACTGTAAACATGTACCTTACTATCTCCTCATTGTGAATATTACGGCAACAGTAAATAAATAAATAAATAAATAAATAAATAAACTTAACCTACCGGTTGGGTGCCACTTCGTCTGGCCTGTGGGACAAGTGGTACCCAAGGGTAAGTGCCACCTTAAAATTTTCTTCTTTGTCTAATTAAATCATTTTTAAGCATTCCAGCAAATATGAACACCTTTCTAGTATCTGTGTTAGCACGAATCGTAGAAGTGTTCAATATGAGAAATTTTACATAGCACGAATCGTAGAAGTGTTCAATATGAGAAATTTTACACAAAGTTTTAGTATGCAGCAGCACGCCGGTTTAGTAATTGAGATTTGGCATGATCAAGCTGAAATTAATCACCTATCGAAGCTTCTTCAGGCATTTGTAGACATGGGGCACATGTGTGGGTTTAGAATGTATCCAAAATTTTACTGTAAACTTCAATTTATAGGGTTTTTACCCTCCACCCCTTTCAAATCCAAGCTTCCTTTACGGGTCTCCAATTCTTTTTACAAAAAAATATAATAGCAAGCTTAGAACTCTAGTTGTATCCAGGATATCACAAAAGTTAAGTATTCGATGGGATAACTGCCTTAAGGGAATATTACCCGATTTGAAGCGAAAGTTGGGCACGTCAAAATGAGCCGTGGTCCCACGAACACGTAATGTGACAGTTTCCATTGTCGTCAAAGAGTTAAAAAAAAGTCTCTATTCTTCGAAGTGACCTCCCCATAGTAATGAGAACTAATTTCGAACAGAGTCATTGTAGGATTTTTAGTGTCGTTGAATTCGCTTCATCTTGACACACATGAAATCCCACTCTCGTACTTATAAGAGTCTTTCCAACGTCCCAGAGGAATACGTTATTGCTGAAATAGTCGTTCACATCATCTCCCTTTCAAATAAGGAGCGTCGGGTGCAGACCATACACCACAAGTGACGACGGCCTCCAAGTAAATCTGGTTAGTAGTGGTTCATAGTGATAGCTGATTTTGGTAAATGATAGTTGTAATTAGTGACAACTGATAGAATACAACTGCAACAGGCTAATCATTTCATTGGCAGAAAACATTTACATTTTGTGGAGGCC